TGAATACCATTTCCGATACCACCATGATAATTGAAAACATTATTTCTTTAGACAATATAATGTGATTTTCAAGTTGTAGTTCTTTCTTTTATATTTCCATGTGGTTTTATATCTGTGTAATCCCTTGGTGGTTCAGTTAGGTTTCATAGTGGTCCATGGGCGTCTATCGTATTTTTCAGACTATAAGGTGCACTGGAATATAAGGCGCAATATCAATGATGTTGAATTCTCTTGTCTATTTTTATACATAAGTTGCACCGGATTATAAGACGCATTAAGAGAAACAAATGGACGACACTTGAGACTAATCCCTTAGCCCAGGCATCCGCGATCCTTCAGCAGATCATGGTGTAATTCGCCAGCCGTTGCCTCCCTGTCTTGGTGAATATGTATTAATGAATGTGAATGTGGGTGGATCATTTAAGTTTGTTTTTTTATTTCCAACGAGGACGACTCAAATGTACATTGAGTAATAATTTGCGCACATTTGTTTACATTTTACAGAAACAAACTTAAGACCACATGGCTCATTTGCATAAACTATAAACGCTGAAAAAAACAGCTCGCTCCTTGTGGCTCTTGATGCGGTTCAGCTTCTGTTGGACTACTCGCGAGGCTTCTGACTACGGTGGCTGTAATGCTTTGACAGTCCATCAAGCGGTGCAGCTTCGTATCTTACCAAAGTCATACTGAAACATTTTGACAGATTTTCGAGCGCTGTGTTCCACATAAAATTGGTTTGAGGTCAGTAAACGTAAATTAATACATAAGGCACACCGGATTATAAGGTACACTGTCGATTTTTGAGAAAATTTTATTAAAGACTTTAAGTGCGCCTTATAGTCCAAAAAATACAGTACTAGCCTTTGAGTCTCTCAGAATGAAAAAAATTCAACCTTGTTCCACCTTGTGATGTCCTGTGATAATAATACATGAATGTGCTTAATGTTTTAAATCTCCAATCTCTACTGAATAAAAAGATTAAAAGTAGCTGTTAACTTGAAAACTTAGACAAAACAGAGCAATTTGAGTTGAGTTTGGAGACAGACAGACAGACAGACTAATGAGGCAGGATTACTCAAACATGCAAACACACACAAAAAAACACAACTCCAGGTATGTTTTTGATGCGGTAACAACATTCTAACATGGCTTAAAGCTCAGCAAGAGACAATTTTGTGTAATATAGGACCTTTAATAGTTTTTTGACTGCTTTCATATCATTTGTTATCTACGTGCTTAGTTCTAGTTAAGTTGCACAGGAGAATATTCTTGGTTTAGTCCTTGGTGTGTACTTTTTCTTATCATTCACGTGACAAAGGTTGTTCCAGTAAGGTGAGGCTTTGCGGTTAAAGTGTGGAGATTAGTACAATGTAACTGTTTCTCTCCGTTGCATTTGTGAAGTCTTCTCAAGCTTAAAATTGACCACAAAAGGTAATTTATTTGAGTTGTATTTTAAGTTGTCAGAGCTTGTCAGCAGTAAAAGTAACACTAGGATTAAAGATTCTATATTATCTCATAGTTGACTCCTGTGAGCTTTAAGCCATGTTGTAATGTTGTTACCTCGTCAAAAACAGACCTGGAGATGTGTTTTGTTTTATTCACACAGTTTGAATAATCCTGCATTATCTGTCTGTCTACAGCTCCAAATCTGAAAATGTTCTGTTCCACTTGGTGATGTCATGAAGCATTAGTTTTCAAAAACAGCTCCTTGGCTTTTACCTTTTGTTTAGTAGAGATTGGCAGTTCCAAGTGGGTCAAATGATTCTACTGAAGGTGTATGGAGTTTAAAAACATAGTGGAGCACTTTCTGTATTACCACATGACATCACAAGAACTCCTAAATATACGGATTTGTGTGTTAAACGTGTGAATGAAACTAAACACAGCTCCAGGTATGTTCACGATGAGGAAACAACATTGTAACATAGATGAGAAAATGTCATGATATGGACTCTTTAAGATTAACTCTTCTGTTTGAGAAGTCTTGATAATGAAAAGTGCTCAGCAACAGTTGTTTGCTCACTTTGACTTGATGACTTTCACTCCTGTAGGTCATGTTCACATTGAATTCGATGATATCATGATTTCAGATGAAGGAGAGGGGCTAGCCAGGCGAGCCAGGCTGGTGCCACCTAGTGCCTCCGCTCAATTTCATTTCTCTCCAGCGACTAAATCAGCAATAGGAATACACTAGACGGTTTGCAAGAACCTCAGAAGTTGTAGGCCGTGCACTAGGCAATCAGTGAAGAGCTTTGAAGCCATGACGTCAAACTCGTCGCGCTTGTCTGGGTCCATTTTGTGGAACAGGACAACAGTAAACAAAGCGTCCAGATGGATGAAGACGAAGACAAACATTCTGTGTTGGCAACGATTCCTGAGATCGAGGATTTAAAGCCGGAACAAAGAGAATGTTTGGTGAATTTTATCAAGGGGAAAGATCTTATTGTCCTTCTTCCTACGGGATTTGGGAAAAGCTTAATATACCCCTTTGCCCCGTTAGAGGTGCATTACATATGTCACGACCAAATAGCAGCGATTGATTAAATAAAAAAACATTGCGAGGTCAAATGTTTCCATAAAGTGAAACCTAAGACGCTAATAAAACTCTTCGGGAGATTCAGTGTTTTTTGATAAAGTTAAATTGAAACATATGATCCACAAATTATGAAGTTTATTGGTACTTGTGAGGTACTGGCTCCACAAACTTGCCATATTAAAGGTGGGCAACTTTTCAGATTTTTGGTCCACTACCTCATTGTTTCCCAAAGACTGAGAGAGATATTTTTGTAGCTATTTTATTGACCATTTTATCTCAGTCTTGCTGGTTCAATTGGATGTTGAAAAGAAAACGAAATGGACTACATTTAATGTCCAAACAAGCGACTTATGGATCCTTTTATTGCTGCTTCAATGACTGTTTTTCATTGAGTAATACTAATTGTTCAGAGACACGATCACTCAGTCAACAATAAAATATCCTCATTCATGTTCTAATCCACCTTTATTTTGTGATTTACGAATGATGTCAAAATGTAAAAAGTTTGCCCGGAATGTTCCATGGTATGATATTAAACATTTCCATTTAGCATTTCTTCATTACGGGTATTTCTATTGCTCTAAAACACAATAATTCCATCTGTGAATAGGGACGACTCTCCACCGATCTGAATTATAATATAGTGCAGTGCTGTAACCTGGTTTTATTCTATACTGTGGAACATTCTAGACAAAGCAATAACATTTCCACATAGACCAGTAAGTGGCGGACCCTCCACTAGAAACGTTACACAGCGCACTTTTAATCTTACGGCTTAAAGTCCTTAAAGACCACAATCATGCTTTGTGGTTTGAACAATGGCACTGCTTTATGAAGCTGCTGTGAAAAAAATAATTAAACTTTGGAAACTCCATTTTTGCCGAGGTCAAACTCTGTGCCAGTTTCTGTTTCATTTGGATGGTTGCAGTAATTACAGAGATGTGAACCATAAACCAGGTCAACAAATCTGCAGTTTTGAGAGTCTTCCAGCTCAAATTTAAACTATACGGATTCAAGAATGTTGTGATTTCATGTGAACTCAAACCACAGAAATACTTAACATATATACAGTACATTTAAAGAGGCCATATTATGCTATTTTCTGATCTATGTTATAATGTTTCCTCATCACAAACTTTTCAGAGTTTTTTTTTTTTTATTCACACAAGTTTAACACACAATCACTGCATATTTAGGCTTAGCTCATCTCTCAAAGGGAAAACACTCTGTTCCACCTTGTGATGTCACATGTTAATACAGAAAGAGCTCCACTGTTTTTTAAACTACATAAAAACTAGGGATGTAAGAAAGAATCGATTCAATGATATAGCGCGATACTACTTTGCACAAATCGATTCAAAATGTGGTTGAATATTTTTCACAAAAATTACAGAGTTACATAAATAAATCAATAAATGTAATTCAATTTTATGTTTGTGAAGGTGCACGTGACTATATTATTAGAAATAATTATTGATCAATTGCAATATATTGTTCTTTGTTTTAGGATTGGGATATATTGGGATAGCCGTGGGTTCTTAAAGGTCTTAAAAAGGTCTTAAATTTCACATTCCTAAATTAAGGTCTTAAAAAGTCTTAAATTATGTTGTCTTAGTTTTTTCATAAAGGTCTTAAATTTAATTAGCCTATTTTTTTGTAAACTCAACGGGCTGCAGTGCAAAATGTTAAATGAAGGCAGGAAAAAAAACAGCGTGAAATCATCTAACGTGAATGAACGTCTAATTTGGAGTATGTGCAAACGATACTTTGGTTTCTGGCGCCGGTGGCAGTGAGTAAACAATCAATAGAGTGGAGGAAGACATTGGATGGATCATGGGGAAGTGTAGGTTTAATCCACAGTGGCTCTTCTAGTAGTTGTAGTAGTTATAGTAGTTGGTTGGCCATTATTCGAATTGGATCTGGTGTTTTTCGCCCGCATAATGGGTGCGATGTTGGTCTTAATTTTCAGTTAAGTGGTCTTAAAAAGATCTTTAAAAAGTAGTCAAACCTGGGGATAGCCTGATATTGTATCGTGACATGCATAGTTTGATACATATTGTATTGCCAGTCTCATAAAAACAGACCTTTACTAGAATAATTTGGATCATTTCAACCCTGGAATTCCCAATCTGTACTAAACAAAAGGTTAAAGGGAGCTTTTATCTTGAAAACTACCACTGCATGACATCACAAAGTGGAACAGAGCATTTTGAGCTTTGGAGACGTAGACAGACTAATATTACAGCGTTTATTTACCAATAACGATTGTCCTTGTTTGACCCTGGTTTAATCTTTGCTCACAGCTTTATATCTTCGCATTTGTCCATAAATTGCTTTACTTTCTTAATCCTCTCTCAATAGAATTCCACATTTACTTTTGCCTGTGCTAATTTTAGTCCTGATTTCATCTTTTCCCCGCAGCCTGTGAATCTTAAGTATATTTTTCGCTCTGTGTTGTCAGCATGCAGATCACTCCGTTGCCTAGTGACAGCAGACTCGGGGGCGGGAAACTGCCGAGCCAGAGCCCAGACAATCCCAGCTCCATCGCCTACCGTCCTCACTTCTCCAACAGTCAGTTTCCGCACAGGACAAGCATCGATACCGGAGCCCGGACCCCCCACCACAACCCCATCAGCCCCATCCAGACCATTCACGGGTCCCACAGAGGAGGAGACATGAGAGGCAGCTACAACAACAACAGGTGAGTGCAAACAAGGACAAAAGACAGTTCTAATAAACCGGGACTATATTACTTTATACTATTATTACTATAATATTGGATCATATTTTTATCTTCTTTTTTAAATGTAGTCTTTATTTTTTCAAGTCCAAATATCCAGAGAATGTTTGTATATAGCAACAAACTAGGGCTGAATACATAATTGTGATTAGATTTGCAATTTAAGTTAAAAGTTCACAATTTAAAGGTCCCATATTACGCAAAAATGAACTCTTGTGAGCTTTAAACCATGTTGTAGTGTTGTTATTTTATCAAAAACATACCTGGAGTTCTGTTTTGTTTCATTCACACATGTTTGAGTAACTCTTTATCATTATTAGTTTACATCTCCAAAAGCTGTGATGTCATGCAGCAGTAGTTTTCAAGTTAAAAGTTACCGTTTACCTTTAGTTTAGGACAAATTGGCAATTGCAGGGCTGAAAGTATCCTAACAGTTCTAGTGAAGTGTTTTCTGTTTGAGAGAAGAACTCAGCCTCAGAACTCTGCAAGGTTTGTGTGTTAAACATGATTGAATGAAACAAAACACATCTCTAGGTCTGTTTGTGATGAGGAAACTACATTATAACATAGATCAGAAAATTGCGTAATACAATCCTTTTAAAAACATACAGAAGAATAGACAAAAAGACTGAAATGTGAACTGACAATCTTCTTATCTTCTTATCTTCTGACAATCTTCTTATCTTCTGATCTAGTTTGTTGTTTGTGAAGGAAATTATAGTATTTGTATTTTGCAAATTGCTTTACTTCAAATCCCAATTTCTGTTATAAATATTTGGACATTTTCTGAACAAAAAGGCAGGAAAACAATTTGAGCGCGCTTATCCGGTGACTAAATTATGTAACACTAAGATGACAAAGAGATAACATTAGACCAGTTGACAACATCTGATTTAAAACGTGGAAAATCACACCACTACACTGAGAGATGTTGGCATTTACAGATATAGCTCAGCTCAGTGCGTGTTTGTCCCATTGTTGTTGTTGATCCTGCCTCCTCCCACTCTCGCAACGCACGTGACCATCTGACAAAAGTGCTTGGATTAAACCCGCACTGTGTCACTTTTCTGCTTGTCTCTATGGAGATGTCAATGCTTTGCCTGAAATGTTTCACGGTATGGCTTTACATTGATCTAGTCAGCGTTACAGGCGATTTGCTGCTCAAGAATATGTTGAAAAACATTAATACAGATACGTTTAATACCATATTGTGGGTGAATCAATAGTGTATCCATGGAAACAAGCAGACACCAAAAAAGTTACACAGTGCGCTAAGGCTGGGTATCATTAAGAAGTTGCCGATACGATACATACCTCGATACATGGGCAACGATACAATACATATCTCGATACAGTGCACTTTCAATTCAGTACAATATATTTCAAATCGATTCGGTATGATTCAATAAAAAATAAAGGCTAAATCATGGCTGTGATACTAAAAATCTTTGTTAAACCACTTCTTGTGCAAAGTTTATATGAAAACACACTCATTTTTAATCATCAAAACAGTGAAAACATCAAATGTGTTGCCTTTCCTTCCTCTAAAAAAGCAACAAAACTGTAGCTGTAACAAAATAATTTAGTAAAATTGACCAAAAATACTCTTGGCGATACAGCAGCACGATATCGATACTGAATCATCACATTTAACAATACGCTATAGCAATATTTCAATATTTTTGCACAGCCCTAAAGTTCATTTTTAGGATCAAAATGTCAGCCTCTGCTAAAGGTGCAGTGTGTAACTTCTGGTGGAGCATCTGCCGTCTGCTCGTCTCCATGCTGATGTTATTGTTTTGCCTGGGATGTTCCACAGTATGACATGAATCAAATATGTCTTGTATATTCAGTTACAGGTAGGGATGTGACAATAACCGAAAGATTGTCATATCGTATCGTCAAAAGCCTCAAAATAATATCGTGGACCGTCACAATATATCGAATCACAAGTTTATTTGCTTAAATTCATTGTTATGGTGCAGCAACAGCTAAAAAACAGAGGGAACTACATAGACCATGATCCTTTGCTCTGTTTCAGGCCAATCTACATGCTGAAATAGCGGTTATTAAGCACTTTTAAATCTTAATCATTTGGATTATGATGAGAGAAAAGTAGCATATTCACAGTTTTGCTAGCCTCGACAAAAAAATCTCAATAAATATCGTACCGTGAGATGCGTATCTTGAAAATATCATATTAAGAGAATTGGATATCGTCACATCCCTAGTTACAGGTGTTTTTATTTCTCAGAAAAAACACAAAAACATGGCCTGGAGATGCGGCCTGCTTGAGATAGTTAAATTAAATGCCACACTGTAGAACATTTCAGGAAAAAAAAAAAAAAAGCAACATGGAGTCAAGCAAGAGATATACCCTCTACTAGAAAAGTTGCACAGTGCACATTTAAGGTGAGAAAATGGTATGTTTTGTTTTGTTTTTTTGTCTTGTCGGTACACGATTTCACCCTAGAGAAACATTAGACAAGTTTTATTGAAAAGTAGATCTTTGGCACTTAAACCGCTGGCAGAGGATATTGCGATAATGGGCTTGATTAGGTCACACTGGGAGCTGTTTGTGGTGGAGGAAAAGGGTGAGGATGGCACAGAAGAGGATGAGAGGATGAGATGCCGAGGGAGAAAGAGAGAGGAGATGGAAAGCGATTGAACTGTGGCTTTAAAGAGCTCATATTACTCTATTTCCTGATCTATATTATAATGTTGTGTCCACGTTAATTCATCGTTTAACAAACCCTGCATATTTTAAGGCTGAGTTCTTCTCTCAAACAGAAAACACTCTCACTCATTGTTCCACCACGTGATGTCATATGGTAAGACAGGAAGTGCTCCACTGTGTTTTTAAACTCTCATTTTATTTTATTCTCTGGCTTTTAACACCGCGTGAGTTGTGTTTATTTTTATGTGTTTTTATTGGATTTATTGATTTATTTTATTTATTGGTTTATTTATTTCTATTGGTTTATTTATTTATATTCTTTGATTTTGTTCATATTTTTATTTTACTGGTTTTATTATTTTAAGACTAGTATTATTTATTTATATTTCATTTATTTATTTATTTAATAGGGACAGTGCATATTAATGAACATCTACAACGCTGCAGTGAAAAATATGACAGATTATAGCAAGAATGCAAGAATTTTAGAAGTTTATTTTATCACTTTATTATTGTTGTTATTATTATGTATTTGTGCAGCACTTTGGAAACTGTTTGTTTGTGAAATGTGCTATAGAAATAAAGTGGATTGGATTGGATTTGGGAACATTTCAGAACTGGAATTGTCAATCCAATCCACTTTATTTCTATAGTACATTTTATAAACATAACAGTTTCCAAAGTAATATAGTAAAACAAAAAATAAACAAAAAATGCATAAAGCTAAAAATGATTTAAAAATGAATAAAATAAAATAAATACAGTTAAATAAAAGACACATAGGACCACACAACTCACGCGGTGTTAAAATCCAGAGTGTAAAAGTGGGTTATAAGACGAGACTTGTGGGGGCTGTTGGGACGTGGGGGGGCAGAGCGTTCCAGAGTTTGGGGCCAGTCAGAGAAGGCCCCGTCCCCCCTGGTTTTAAGTCTCGTCTTAGGCGCCACGAGCTGGAGCTGGCCCTCGGACCTCAGAGCGCACGCTGGGGAGTAAACCTCTATCTCATATATACAGTCTATGGTACAAATGAGTCGTTTGTTTATTTTGAACTGTAAATGAACTAAAAATAATTGAACATTGCGACATTGGCATTAGCGGTATTTCCACTGCACCTTATGGGAGTTACTAACTGAAGACGAGACACAAGTGAAAACATGTTCATAGATTTATAGCTTTGAACCACAAGGACAACTCGATGTTTCATTACAGTTCTGAACATTACCGAATTAGTCATTATTATTAAAGGTGCACAATTTGTCTGGAGGGTGTTCTGCACCTGTTTACCTTTGCTTTCCTTGGAATGGTCCAGAGTATGGCATTAAGCCCGTCTATCTTACAGCTATTCAGTTACAGCAGGTGTTTTATTGCTTAAGAATGCAATGAAAAGAAGGCATTCCAAGTGGGAGTGGGCCATAGATCTGACCTGTAACTTGACATTGTCGGCGTCACCTGGTCCTATGGAGTCTACAACTCCATCCTCAAACCTAAAACAAAGAGAACAATAGGGATAGCCAGGTCAGGGCCAGAGGTGTGAAAGCACTCATTATGTGGGCCTGTATGATTCTGCTAATATGACCCCACACTCTGTACTACAGATGAATAGGCCGAGCTAACAAAGAGAAACTGTAAACAAGTAGGTGTGTTAGTTTCAGAATAATTTCAGTGTAGTTAGCTCCTCCCTTCAGACACATATAAGGAAGTGTCCACCAGAGTCTGACCAGAACTGAAGAAGCAGCTTGGATGAACTGTGAAACATGTTCAACCTAAATAAACGTTTGTTCAGTTGACAAATTGAATTTCTCCTTTGCCATGGATTCTACCTAGTCAACTGAGGGATTCTCCACACTTTATTGTCTGCCTACATCTCCAAAGCTCAAAATGCTCTGTTCCACCTCGTGATGTCATGAATTGTTGTCAAGTTAACAGCTACTTTTACCTTTCATTCAGTAGAGATTTGCAATTCCAGGGCTGAACTGATCCAAATGATAGTGAAGGTGTATGGTGTATAAAAACACATTGGAGCACTTCCTGTATTACCACATGACATCACAAGGTGGAACAGAGTGTTTTCATTTTGAGAAAAGAACTCAGCCTAAATCTACAGGGTTTGTGTGTTAAATGTGTGAATTAAACAAAACACAACTCCAGGCATATTTGTGATGAGGAAACAACATCAGAACAGAGATCAGAAAACAGAGTAATATAGACTCTTTAATGTCATACTGTGGGACATTTCAGGCAAAGCAATAACACCTCCATGCAGACAAGTAAGTGATGGACTCGCCACCAAAAATGTTACACAATGCAGCTTTAAATTCCTGGGATAATATAAAACAGTTAACAGATTATACAGACTGCAAAAATAGTCAATGGAACAAACCACAAGGCGTCTGTGATATTTAAAAGGCTAAAGTTTGTGTTGCAGAGAGGTGTTGCTTCTGACTCCAAACTGTGACTCTGACGAGGAAGCTGGTACATGTCCAAGCGTCCAGACTGGTCTAATTTTGACGGAGTTTGTTTTGTTTTGTCCCCAGGCTGCCGAGCAATGGAGAGAGCAACACAGTGGGTCTCAACATTATCAAAAACATCGGTGAGTGAACACAAAATGGGACAAAACCAGGACAAAAACAAATGTATTCTAAATCTGCATTAAATCAGCTATATGGCAGTTAACTATGAAAACGTTTAGGTCATAAAACTAGATGTAAAAATCAAATTTGGGTAAAAGTGAATTGTGTTGAAAAATATGAGGAATACATGTGAAAATGCATATATTCTCACACTTATATATTATAATTATAGTAAAATATACAAAAAACAATACATTAAACTGCATGTCCACAGTGTCCTTGATATGCCCTTGACACAAACGATGTATGAATAACTTAAGAGTAATCAGCAGCTAATTAACTGTAAAACTCTGCAATTTATAAAGAATTAACTTTGTTTAAAGGACCTATATTACGCTATTTTTGATTTATGTTACAATATTTCCTCATCTCAAACCTGGAATTGTGTTTTGTTTCATTCACACAAATCCTGCATATTTAGGCTGTGTTCGTTTCTCAGGCTCTGTTCCACCTTGCGATGTCACGTAGGAAGTGTTCCACTGTGTTTTTAAACTCAATACGTCTTCACTACAATCATTTGGATAATTTCTGCCCTGGAATTACCCATCCATACTAAAAAAAAAAAGGTTAAAGGTAACTGTAAACTTGAAAACTACTGCTTGATGACATCACAAGGGTTAGTATTTTGTGTTTTGGAGATGTAGACAGACTAATCATCCAAGACTACACAAACATGTGTGAATGAAACAAAACCCAACTCCAGGTGTGTTTTTGAGGAGGTAACAACATTATAGCATGGTCTAAAGATAACAAAGAGTTACTTTGCACATTTAGGATCTTTAAACTCAAAGCAGAAAACACAATTAAGAATAATTAAGGGGAATAGTCCTAACAAGCCCCACTTGAGATTTACCCGTGCCAAAACCCTCAAGAACTGGAACCAGGTCAGGACCAACCCAGAACTCAGAAAAAAACATCCTCTACTTCAGAAGTAATTAAATAATAATAATAATAATAATTAAAAAAACATTTAAAAACAACTACTGGTTGAAGTAGCACTGAGTAAACTGTCACCACATAACACGTAAAACAGGATAATAACAAAACCATAAGAGCAGTTTAGGCAGCTCTAAACCAGCTCCAAACCAGCTCTATACCAGCTCTAAACTAGCTCTAAACTAAACCAGCAGCTCTAAACCAGCTCTAAACCAGCTCTATACCATCTCTAAACCAGCTCTATACCAGCTCTAAACTAGCTCTAAACTAAACCAGCTCTAAACCAGCTCTAAACCAGCTCTTAAACCAGCTCTAAACCAGCTCTAAACTAGCTCTAAACCAGCTCTAAACCAGCTCTAAACCAGCTCTAAACTAAACCAGCTCTATACTAAACTAGCTCTAAACCAAGTCTAAACCAGGGGCTTATGTGATTTTCCCTCTGTATCTTTAAACTCTATAGCAGGTCTAAACCAGCGTTGTGGACTTTACCCTGCTGAGATTTACCATTACACGCTGTATTGACCTTAGGATGATCCAGGAAAATTCGCTGGGTCGGGTATCGGTCCCTGATCTGGCCTTTCGCTGGATGTGATGGAACTTATCTTGAGGCTAATGTAGGCCTAGAACACTGCATCGTGTTTGGACTTATTCATGCAAATCCTTCAATAGTTGGCAAGAACACAGTTGGATCAGTCATATAGTCAGTGAAGTGTGTTTTGATGGATCTTTTTTCAGACCCTACGTGGGTATCGGTTCATATTGGGTATTGATAACAGCATTGGAACTGAAAAAGCTGGATCTATATAAACGTAGAGTTAGGCTACTATATGCAGAATTAACCATAACCTTAATTCATATGCTATTTTCACTGCAATATGATACACATTCTATGAGTAACTGTTGCTTTAAATTCTAAACCAGGTCTAAACCAGGTCTAAACCAGCCCCGTGTACTTTGCCCTCCCTATAGCTGCGGAGATGTGCTGTCAGATGCTGTTATATTGGGTACTGCTGTTGCTTCTTGGACACACTGTGCTCCTGCTCCTGTCTTCCTTATGTAACTCTCGCTTCAGCAGCAAACGCCCACAAACCAATCTGCTGCTCGTGTCCAACCGAGGTGTGTTACGCAACCGCCTCTCTCTCTTCAAAGTCACCTTCCTCGCCACTCCAAACGGCTTCCTTCAAAAAAAAGCTTTAACTGGAAACTTTCTGCCCACTTCCGCCCCCTGACACAAACTTAAGTGCCTACGAGCGCATCGATAAATCTGAGCCGCCGCAGTTATGAAAACAACGATGTGAAGGGCTATGAGGCGATTTAAGGCTGGTTTAGTCCTCATTTGACTCTTGTACGGTTCAAATAGAGAGATCACTGTTTTATTGTTTATAATATACTACGCTATTTTCAAATTTTCTGATGTTAGGTGCTGTTTCCTCATCACAAACAGACCTGGAGTTGTGTTTTGTTTCATCCACAAATGTTTAACACACAAATCCTACATATTTAGGCTCTTTTCTAAAACGAAAGACTGCACAATTAATTGAATTTTGATCACAATTTCGATTTGTGTGTCAAAATGATCTCCAAACTCATAATTGAATTGAACCAAAAGCTTAACAAAGTTTATTTGGGGATATTTTTATATAAATAAGTAGATTTATTTTATTTTTTAAATATAGAGATTGTACAACAGCTGGATATATAATTTATTTTGGATACATTCATGTTTTTCTATGCCTTATTTTATTTTTTTATACATTGCAAAACTGCTCTAACGTACATATTTGTAGCCTGTATTTATTTTCAGTTTGAAAGTTTTGCATAAATGATCAATTTTTTTTTTTTTTTTTTTAGAGAAATGCTGAATAAATGCATTGTGTAACTAAAAAAAAAATCGTTTGAATAATCGTGATTTCAATATTGACCAAAATTATCATGAGAATGATTTTTCCATAATCGAGCAGACCTACTAAAACGTAAAACAGTCTGTTGCACCTTGTGATGTCATGTGCTAATACAGGCAGTGCTCCACTGTGTTTTCAAACTCTATACACCGTCACTAGAATCATTTGGTATCATTTCAGCTCTGGGAGTACCAATTTCTACTGAACTAAAAGTAAAAGGCAGCTGTTAACTTGAAAACTACCCTTTCATGACATCACAAGGTGCACCAGAGCATTTTGAGCTTTGGAGATGTAGACAGACTGAAAATGCAGGATTATTCAAACATGTGTGGATTGAACCAAAACACAGCTCCAGGTCTGTTTTTGAGGAGGTAACAGCAGTATAACATGGTTAAAGCTCACAGGAGTCCAATTACGTAATATAGGACGTTTAAGCAGCAGGTGACCCAAAGAGCTTTACATTGCATGATTCACTCACTTCACACTGGCCCTGGGGCAGACCGACAGAGGTGAGGCCACCAATCTGCGCCACCGACCCCTCCGACCAACACCCACTCACTCACCGCGTTCATACTAGACAGTGTGGGCGAAGTGTCTGGCCTTCTAGCTTTGGGTAATATAATAGGCTTAATATGGAAATCTAGTTTTAGTCATCCAATTAGTCTTCCATAGTCAGTAATAGTTTTTGTATCTATGCAAATGATGACACTAAACCCTTCTACCAACAGCCCTGCAATTACTATTAAGAGCTATTAGTACACAGGTTCAAAGTAGCAAGGAGAGGGTGTGTGCTGTGTTGACTAAAACCAACATTTTATTAACAACACTGCAAAAATGTTTTATTTCGAGGAGGGTTAGATTGACTGATGTATGACAGATAGATTAAAGCGCCCATATTACACATTTTCTGAGCTGTGTTATAATGTTTCCTCATCACGAACATGCCTGGATTTATGTATTGGTTCAGTCACACATGTTTGAGTAATCCTGCATTTTTAGTCTGTCTACATCTCTAAAGCTCAAAATGCTCTGGTGCCACCTTGTGATGTCATGAAAGGGTAGTTTTCAAGTTAACAGCTGTCTTTTACTTTTAGTTCAGTAGAAATTGGTACTCCCAGAGCTGAAATGATCCAGACGATTCTAGTGACGGTGTATAGAGTTTGAAAACACAGTGGAGCACTGCCTGTATTAGCACATGACATCACAAGGTGCAACAGACTGTTTTACGTTTTAGTAGGTCTGCTCGATTATGGAAAAAATCATTCTCGTGGTTATTTTGGTCAATATTGAAATCACGATTATTCAAACGATAATTTTTTTAGTTACACAATGCATTTAGTTCACATTTATCTAAAAAAACAACAACACTTTGTTATTGATAATTTACGCAATACTTATCAAATAAATACAGGCTACAAATATGAACGTTAGAGCAGTTTTGCGATGTAAAAAAAAAAAAACATAAAATGAATAAAATATACTTTGAACATGAAATACGGCATAGAAAAAAACATAAATGTATCCAAAATAAACTATGTATCCAGCTCTTCTACAATCTCTATATTTAGAAAATAAATATACTTCTTTATATAAAAAATATCCCAAAATAGACCCATATTATACATTTTCTGAGCTGTTATAATGTTTCCTCATAACGAACATGCCTGGAGTTATGTTTCGGTTCATTCACACATGTTTAACACACAAATTCTGCAAGTTTAGGGTACAGTTTTCAAATTAAAACACTTTCTTCCCCATTGTGATGTCATGTGGTAAAACAGGATGTGCTCCATTGTGTTTTTAAACCGCATACACCTTCAGTAGAATCATTTGGATGATTTAAGCGCTGGAATTGCCAATCTCTACTGAGGCAAACTGGAGCTGTTAACTTGAAAATTACCACTTCATTATATCGCAAGGTGGAACAGAGCATTCTGAGCTTTGGAGATGTAGACAGACTAATGAAAAGGATTACTCAAATGTGTGAATGAAACAAAAAACAACTCCAGGTCTGTTTTTGAAGAGGTAACAACATTATAACATCGCTTAAAGCTCAGAAGATTCAATTTTGTATAATATAGGACCTTTACAAAACAGATAGATGAATGGATGTTCTTAGCAACATTTTGAAGAAGTTGGAGAAATTAGTGACTTGTTTTAAGAAAATAAATCTGCCTTTTTAATAAGAACACAATGTCCAAAATGAATCTAGATTAGTCAAAACTTTAGCACTTTGTTTTTCAGCTATCAGCCTTAAAGGTGCATTGTGTAACCCTTTGGTTGGGGGTCCGTCACCTTCTTGTTTCTATGGATATGTCATTGCTCCTTAGAATGTTCCACAGTATGACATTAAACAGCTCTACCTTACATTTATTCAGTTATAGGTGGTTTAATAGCTCAAAATATTTAGAAAAATAGGCATTCTGACTGAGCAGGGTTGCCTCTCCACAGATTTGACCATGAAGATAGAAGATAGAAAGGTTTAATGCCATACTGTGAAACATTCCAGACAAACCAAAAACATCTCAATGGAGAAAAGCATTTGATGGACCCCCACCTTTTAATCTCCAGCAGAGACCGATATTTTGTTGGGCTTAACCAGCTGCCTAAAGAATGGCATAAATCTTCATTTGAACACTTTAATGTAAAGAAGACACTACTCAAAACGTGACTACGCAAAACTCTTATCCATTTTGTTGTAAAACGTTGTGGTAGATAAGTTTGTAATCATTTAAACTTGTGTATTTGGGGGAAAAAAAAAAAAAATCCTCACTACATATCAAAATATCAGCAGACCGTATCGACCATCAGTATCTCTGGATTCTGAACATCGGTATCTGCATAAACCATGGAAAAATACATATATATATATATCGGTTGATTTCTGGTCAAAAAACGATTCACATCAAGTTCAGCTCAAGCTATTCCCGATTTTATGTGAGTGTAAATTTCGCCTGCTACTGTACATCTTAACCCACGTCTCTCCTCTGCCCTCCTGTGTAGAGTTCTTGTACCAGGAGTACAGGGACAGTTCAAAGCAGCAGGAGATCGAGCAGAGGAGGCACGCCGAGTCTCTGTCCCCCGGCGAGGTGAGGCGCACCGGGTCAGACTCCAGCTCCGTGCCCCCTCCCTCCCTCCAGCTCCAGCTCCGAAACACCACACACTCGCTGAGTCTGTGGCAGAACCTGGAGGTGGTGCAGAACAGCGGGCTGCTCCTCAAACTGCCCCAGAAGGAGGTCATCATGCAGGAGGTGAGGAGGCTATGGGGCCAGAGACAGATGAACAAAGATCATTCTCAGATGCTTATAGTGTGGCTAGAAAGTGGAATATGCACTCACAAATGGGGGATGTGACGCTAACTGAAAGCACTGCTGTGTTAGAAGCTCGGTTACTCAAGTTAGACTTAATTTTAGAGTTTTAGTTTCACACAATCTGACCATAAACATTGATTTGATTGAAACTACAACAGGTGAACACTGAGCATTCAATCAGTCAGTAGAAATCCATTATAGAATACCCCAGCATGATGTTTTTTAATTCTGGATTAATTGTTCTGAATTAAATAATTCTGAATTAAAATATTCTCCTTCAATTTAACATGGAAATAATAATTCTGAATTGAGGTTTACATGGAAAACACGTTAAATCACCTTTATTTAATTCTGCTCAGAGTCTGGGGGTGGGGAAGGGTTCTGATTGGACAGGGACACGAAGTATTTACATCGACCGGAAGAAAACACACACTTCAGCTGCTACCGGCTTTTCTGTCATCTCAGTTTGTCGTTACGCCACCGACACAAACTTTTTTCACAGTCGTTCTGATGATAATTGCATAGCAGCTTTAGAATTCTCTCATCATGCTTTACGTCTGTCAGCTGAGGAGGAGAAGGGAGGAAGAAGACAAACTGAGTCAACAGCTGCTCTACTTCAGCCCACTCCCACATCCTGCTCACAAGTCCAAAGAGATGTGGATGAAATTCCAAAGCCAGGACAGGTGGAGCCAGATTGTCCGGAATTATTTTTAAGAAGAATAAACATTTACATGATCAAGGAATAAACCACCCACTTACTTCAGAATTAAGTTGAATTGTGAATAATCATTTTCATTAGGAATAAAGTGTTTACATGCTCGTTTTAAAGCGGAATAACAATTTTTTATTCAGAATTAATTTTAAATTAAAGCTCTCATGTAAACATGGCATATATAACTAAAAAGTTAAATTCTATTAAAGGTACACTGTATAACATTTCTAGTAGAGCAAAAAAAAAAAAAACCATGTATGTTCCCATAGAGATGCCAGGAATATTCCACATGACAGCATTAAACTCACCTTTTATTCAATTACAGCGGATTTTCTTGCTAAAAAATATCTTATTATTATCATTTAACTAACATGAACTTTTTCATATGTGCATTTGTCCAGGCCATGTTTGAGCTGGTTTCCTCTGAAGCGTCTTATTACAAGAGTTTGGAGATTTTAGAAACTCACTTCCTGCGAAACCCCATCCTCGTCAACACTCTCAGCCAATCAGACATGCACTTCCTGTTCTCCAACATCGAGGATGTCATGAAGGCCAGTGAACGGTAAGAGAGATGTTTTCTGAACGTTTAACCTTACACTGAACTGTCATATCCATTCACTTATTTGATACATCATAACTTTGTACAAAAATGTTAGAGTGGTCCTACTGCATCCACTGTGCACTGTGTAACTTTTCTGGGTGAGGGGCCGCCACCCGCTTATCTCCGTGGAGATGATATTATTTTGTCTGGAATGCCTTATAGCATTAACCCTCTCCAGGCAGGCGTTGCAGATTTGCAACAGCTAAATTCCAATTACCTACTTACTCCACATCCATATTTTATGAGCTTTTTTTACTCAGGAGCCTTTTCTCCCATCCACGCTGATAAACGTGGACGATGCAGACTCTGCAAGAATGGCTCCACGCAAACGGCCTGCCAGAAGTGCAAAATACTTTTTTGTTCACAAAGGATAAAAAAGTCAAGATTGTATATTACTACCCCATATTATAATTTTCCCCAAATATCAGATTTTTCCTGATACTAAAAATTTATTTGAGCCTGAGAGGGTTAAAGGTATCAATTTACTCAATAACATGTTTTTTTAAAATTAACCTAAAAACTTGCATTCTTGCTTTGCGTGGGCTCTCCTCCACCGATCTGACATGTAGCTTGGCCCTGTGGTGTCAGCTGTTGTTTCCATAGAGATAACATGTGTAATGGCGTACTGTGGCAAATTCCAGGCAGTATCTCCATGGAGAGAAGCAGAAAAGTTACACAGTGCACCTTTAATGTTGTATTGTCATTATTTATGGAAGGCCATTCATTTTTGCAATGTGTAATAACATACTGTTTATACCAGGGGTCTCCAACCTTTTTCGTCCAGGGAGCTACTTTTACAAACCAAAAATACCAGAGAGCTACTCGTTTTAACGTTACAAGAAGAGCCACAGCGAACCTTAGATAGGGTACAGTTACATGTCTATATACACTTATTAATGTACAAAGTCAGGCATCAAAATTATACATGTACAATGATAATGGGCATTTAATCAGCCAAATTGTACTTATTGAGCACAATACATGTAATTCAGAAATCCTTTGGTGAGCTATTTGAAAGGGGGTGGAGAACTACCGGTGGTTCCCAAGCTGCAGGTTCGAGACCCCTGGTTTATATAATAAAATTTTTCCTCAACTGATAATCTTGTAACCATAGACTGTATATTTATAAATGGACATAGCTAACCCACTAGTCACAATGTTCCGCTTCCAACTCCACTGACTCAGGCTCCAATTGACTTTACATTAAAAAACTGTGGCCCCTCTCTCTGTAACTGCAGCTGTGAGCCTCGTCATCTGCTCTACATGATCCTGGTGTTTGTATTTTCCTATTTTGTCTGTAATTAAATTCCTATCCCTTAAGTGGAACCCAGCTTCAAATTCGCTCCTATAACCACCAGCCTCAATGAGCTTCATTTGACTGGAGCTGAATGCTGTGGGTGACGTTACGCTAACATAGTCCACTTTTTTATACAGTCTATGCTTACGGAAGCCGAGAGGGGCCACAACAAACGCAAACGCCGCAACAAATAAAAATGCAACAACACAATAAAAAGCCACAACAAACCAAAAAAAGCCACAACGGAAATGACCGCGGGACTCTATTTTAATGCAAACGCCGCAACAAATACAAACACCACAACACAAACGCAAATGCCGCAACACATTAAAAAGCCACAACACATCAAAAAGCCACAACGGAAGTGACGGCGGGACTCTATTTTCCGACGGACCGATCAAGCGGCAAATGAAGAAGAACTACAACGTGAAACGAATAATGATAAAACAATAAATTACTTTTACTTATGTTTCCAACTTCTCCTTTCCTTTACTGTTGTTTACGTTGTAGTTTTTCTTCTTCACTTGCCGCTTGATCGGTCCGTCGGAAAATGGAGTCCCGCGGTCACTTCCGTTGTGGCTTTTTGATGTGTTGTGGCGTTTTTAATGTGTTGCGGCATTTGCGTTTGTGTTGTGATGTTTGTATTTGTTGCGGTGTTTGCATTAAAATAGAGTCCCGCGGTCATCAGCGTTGTGGCTTTTTTTTGGTGTGTTGTGGCTTTTTGTTGTGTTGTTGCATTTGTATTTGTTGCGGCGTTCGCGTTTGTTGTGACCCCTCTCGGCTTCCGTATATACTTGCAACAGAAACAACCAGCATAACCAAATCAGAAGGGCTAGCTTTGAAACTCTTTTATTTACCTTCTCAGAAACTTTACTCTACCGTTTACTGTAAGACGTGGCTATCTTAAGATGAAGAATCCTTGACCTGAATGACCCGAGTTCTTCTGTGCAGGTTCCTGATGGACCTGGAGCACCGTATCGAGGAGAGCATCTTGATTTCAGATGTTTGTGATATTGTTTATAGTCACGCTATGGAGCATTTCAACGTCTTCATCATCTACGTCACCAATCAGAACTACCAGGAGAAGAACTACAGGCGCATACTGTGAGTACAAGTCAGCACATCCGAGTTTATACTTACACTGGCACAACTGGACTGGACTTAAGGATACATTTTAGGTATCTGTACTTTACTTAAAGGTGCATTGTGTAACTTTTCTGCTGGAGGGTCCGTCACCTTCTTGTTTCTATGGATATATCATTGTTCTGCTTTGAATGTTCCACAATATGACTTTAAAATGATCTACCTTTTAATCAATTTCAGCTCAAAAATACCTAGATAAACAGACATTCTGACTGTGAGCGGGGTCGCCTCTCTACAGATCTGACCTGTAACTTGGCATAGTTTGGTGTACATGATAATTAGAAAAGTTTAAACCCATACTATTAAGCATTTTAGACAGAGAAATAACATTTCAGTGGAGAAAAACAGAAAAGTTACACAATGCACTTAGAAGTAGATTTTAATGCAGGTACTTTTTACTTTTACTTTACTAGAGACTTTCTACTCCTCCACATTTCTGAACAGGACTGAAAAGTAAAAGTATTTTTTATTATTGTGTGAGACCTGCTGAAAAGCCTGAGGGTTTATTTATTTATTTTTGTAGTTTGAGCAAACAAAAATATACTGTGTTTTCCGTACTATTAGGCGTGCTCTTAAGCCTCCAACCCCATCAAAAAACGACTGTGCGCCCCGCAATCCAGAGCGCCCTATACACGAATCCACTGGGGTGTCCCAGCACGACTTCAGAAAACTACAAAGCCGCACCACCTGCAGCGCACGCAAACACACACGGAGCAGACAGCGACCGCAGAGCTAAAAACACCCACACTCACACTCATCACTCCACGCCTGACGAGGAACGGAACAAAGGAACGAACTGAGAGAGCGAGTGCAATGTGCCACTTCTAGACACAACTGAACAACTGAGTCACTGCGAACACGCCGACAATCCAGCGTCCCAGACAGCACCCTCCCTACACGCCACAACTGAACAAAGCCCAGAGTCACCGTGAACGCGCCAAACAAAGTCCCACTGACCCACCCAACTGTTGTGTTTCCTTTAAAGTCCGGTGCGGTTTATTTGTGAAAAAAGTTCGAAAATAGACCATTCTATGACAGTGCGTTTTATAATCCAGAACGCCTAATAGTGTGGAAAATACGGTACAAAGAAAACTGCTATAAAAAAAAACAATCAATTCACTTGCTTCTGCTGAACAAATTTCACCAAAGTCTGCACCAAAATCACTACACTTGACCTCAAAATCTGAGCAAAATACTTTTTAAGGCAGTACTTTAATACTTTTATTTATTTTGCATTGTGTAACTTTGCCGGTGGAGGGTGCGTCAAATGCTTTTCTCCATGGAGATGTTTTTGCTTTGTTTGTCATGTTTCACAGTATGGTATTAAAAGTTTCTATCTTCACAGAGACCAAACCAAGCCAAGTTACAGGTCAGATCTGTGGAGAGGCGACCCTGCTCACAGTCAGAATGTCTGTATTTTTGAGCTATAAAACCACCTGTAATTGAATAAATGTAAGGATTAAGGTTTAATGTCATACTGTGGAACATTTCAGGCAGAGCAATGACATATCCATAGAAACAAGCAGGTGATGGAGCCCCAACCAAAAAGTTATGCAGTCCACTTTTAAGTAGATTTTTTCATGTGATACTTTTACTTTCACTTGAGTTTTTCTTTGCTTTGATATCTGTACTTTTACTTAAGTAACAACACTGAGTACTTCTTTCACCACAGGAAAATTGTAAAAGCTAAAAAATTAGAAAAAAATGATGTTTCTTATACATTTTAAAAGTATATGGGGGCAGGTGCAAAGGAATTACAATTTGCTGAAAAAGAACCATGTGGAAACAGCTGGCTCTGAGTGTCCCGGACAGGCAGGGTGAGTGAGAGATGAGACTAAGTGGGTGGGGCAGTTTATTCTATTGACCAAATGGATTAAAACTAAATTTAGGATCTGCAATAGAAAGAACTATTGCATCATAATTCAAAGGATAAATTTTAACTCCAGGTTTCTGCTTCAGTAGATGATTTCAACATACTTTCCATTAAACAAGCTTTTATTTAGGCTGGTGATATGATATGATATAATGTAGAAATCTATTATGAAGCAAATAACTATTAAAGGTCCCATATTTTTACCTGGAAATCCGGAATGATCTCTCTCTGTTTTTGTTTCACAGAGTAGCCACTGGTACAGCGTTGAGTGTGGAATTTTCCAAGAAATGTTATGTTTCCTCATCAAAAACCTTCCTGGAGTTGTGTTGTGTTTTGTTTAACACACAAACTTAAGGAAGATAATTTGTTTCATCAGATTTTAAAGTTTAAATGCTCTTAAATTTGTCTCTTTGAACTCTGAAAAAACATGTTGGAATTCTTTTTATTCTGAAATTTAGTTGCTGAGATTTTAAGTGTACTTTTTCAAAGTGTTTGAATTTTGACTGTTGAATATGAAGGCTTGAATATTTAAAAGGTGTTTTTTTAATTTTATTTTGAATTTTAGAGTCTAAAATTCTCAGTGAAAATAATTAGCAGTAAAGATCCAAGATGCCAAGGCAGAAGCAATAGATCCAAAGTGATACAATCTAACTAAGCAACAAGCAGAAAATGGTGTAGTGAAATAAATGAATTGGTCAGAAATAGCCTCATCAAACCCTCGTCTCTTTTATTTCTTAAGTGTAAACCCTGCCCACAGATGAGAACGGCCAATAGGACACAACCTCTGTCCTCAGCGCTCACTTATGATCGATTGCTTCTGCTTTGGCATCTTGGATTTTTGTTGTGAAATTTTCCACTCTGAATTTTAACTTTTGAATTTCAGGGCTCGAAAATATCTTTGCTGAATATTTAAAAGGTGAAATTTTTATTTTGAATTTGAACTATACTGAAAAAGTATACTTAAGTAAAGTAAATAAATAAATAAATACATTTCAGCAACAAAAATTCTGAATAAAAAATAATATATATTTTTTTTCAGATTTAAAAAAATTAAAAGTGAGAAATTCAGCAGTATTTAAAATTCAAAATCTGATGGAACAAATTATCTTCCATACAAACCCTGCATATTTAGACTGAGTTCCTTTCAATCTAAAAACACTCTTCCACATTGTGATGCCAAGTAGTAATACAGGAAGTGCTCCACTGTGTTTTTAAACTCTGTGCACCTTCACTAGAATCATTTGGATACTTTCAGACCTGGAATTGTCAATATCTACTGAACTAAAGGTAAATCACAAGGTCGAACAGGACATTTTAAAATTTGGAGATGTAGACGGACGTATAATCCAGGATTACTCAAGCATGTATAAATGAAACGTAACACAACTCCAGATATGATTTTGATGAGGTAACAACACAATAACATGGCTTAAAGCTGACTAGAATCCATTCTGCGTAATATAGGAGCTTTAAAAATGTTACAAAGGCATTATCTCTAACTAAAAGCGTCATGTATGATCAATGGGGCTTGAGTTATGTTTTGATTAAGAATTAATTTAACCCATAAATCAACATAACCTGGACTTACCCATGAACACACTTTAAAGGCATTTCAGGTTACAATGTCATTAGTTTGGATAATGGCCTTGATCACAGGAAGAGCAGCTTTTAGAATAATTGTCCTTCTTACTTCCTGGTTCGATTGTGATTGGCGTCTGTTGAATAAGAAACAGGTTTGGTTTAATGCATGACAAAACTGATGTGCAGGGTGTGTCTGCTTTTGAATATATTGTTGCTTTTTTGATGTTGGGTGCATACCTGACATGAGTTCCCACGCATGCTTTAAATCAACACACTGTCGAAACTCGCAGAGACGGATTGTACTGATACGATTAAAAAGGCATTATATTTAAATCGTTTATTATTACTAATATATTTGGTTTTTAAAGTCTTATATTGCGCACAATGGGTTCTTGCGAGCTTTAAGCCATGTTAGAACGTTGTGACCTCAAAAACATTCCTGGAGTTGTTGTTTGTTTCATTTCAGTTTGAGGAATCCTTTATTATTAGTTTGTTTATATCTCCGAACCTCAAAATGCTCTGTTCCTCCTTGTGATGTCATGAATAGGTAGTTTTCAAGCTACTTTTTTACCTTTTGTTCAGTAGTTTGGCAGTTCCAGGGCTGAAATGCTCCATAAATGATTCTAGTGAAGCTGTATGGAGTTTAAAAACGCATCGGAGCGCTTCCAGCATTACCAAATGACATCACAAGGTGGAACATAGTGTTTTCTGTGTTAAACATGTGTGAATGAAACTAAACAAAATTCCAGGTATGTCTGTGATGAGAAAATAACATAACATAGATCTGAAAATGGTAATATGGGCTCTTTAATAGTTTAATATCCAAAATAAGACATATTTTAAGCTCTAAGTCAGAACATATTTTATAATTTTACCTCATACATGGACTAAAGTTGCGTTGCTTTTATTTTAGAGGTGTTTTTTAAATGACATTTTTTGTTCGGCAGCCTCACTTTTTCATTGCTTAGTCATAACACAAACTCAGCTCATCAAAAACAATGATATTTACTGCTTTTTATAAAGAATTTATGCAGAATTGAATAAGCACTTTGGCCCAGACCTCCACGATATTTTCAGTTTCTCATGTGGTCCCATGGAAAAAAGAATTGCCCTCTCCTGCTCTAAATGATCGAGTGTTAAAATAAAAATAAAACTAAGACATTAGTTAATAGTAAATACCAGTGTAGGTTAGTTGGAAAAGATCCTCACCCACTAACCCAGACTTTTGTGGTTTGTCAAATCAAATCAAGTCAAATTGATTTGTAGAGCACATCAGCAAAAGCAGATGACCAACGTGATGAGCACACAACAATAAACCACTATACACAATAAGATAACGAGAAAATCAAGTTTAAAACCCCTAGATTATGCAAAATGGACTCTTTGGCCATGTTAGAATGTTGTTTCCTTCTCAGAAACAGACCAGGAGGTGTGTTTTGTTTCATTCATACATGTTTGAGTAACCCTGCGTTATTAGTAGATTTGAAATTCCAAGACTGAAATGACC